TCATGCAAATACCAGCCCAACGAAGAGGCTTGCATTGAACACTGATAACGGTGGACGCTCACCGACGTACCTGCTCACTTTCTTAGGAATATGGTTACCTAGGTCGCCGTGTGCAATTTCCGTATGCATTTTCCCGAGTGTGTTTCCCCTTCCTGGGAGCCCGGGTGAGCTCATGTCTTGGCACCTCATCCCTTTTCTCTCTTGCGCATACATCGGTCCAGCCCTTATTGTACGCGCACACCTGTACTTGAAACCCACATTTGAGGTCGCCCAGGTTGTTACCGGGAGGTTTGGTTCATCGGCTGTCCCTGGCCACTTAGCGTATTGACACCAAGTGATGGAGTGCCATGTTGCGTAAGGTGCCATGTCACTTGCGTAAGTGTCATGTTGCATCTTCTCATTGCAATCACATACACCTGGTCTGTCTTGTCCTCTTTTCATGTCTTCATCCGCTTGTCTGTTTTGCACGAGCACATGCACATTAGTCGGCCCCTTAGCTTTTCTGCGCCTCCCCTTGTGGGAGGCGTCTGTGTGAAACCCTTGGAGTCACAGGGAATCCGTTGATTTGGTCTTCTTCATCAGCAGGGGGGCTGGTTGTTCATGCAAATACCAGCCCAACGAAGAGGCTTGCATTGAACACTGATATCGGTGAGGACGCTCACCGACGTACCTGCTCACTTTCTCAGGAATATGGTTACCTAGGTCGCCGTGTGGCATGTGGCAGTCAATTTCCGTGCGCATTGTCCCAAGTGTGCGCGTCTGACCCTGGAGTCATGGGTTTCTTCGGAACTTGTTCGACAGAGCCAAACCGACGAAGAAGCCACTTAGGTGGTGCAACTTGCAGCTGTTGTTGCACTTCAGTTGCAAAGTCATGAGAGTTTTTGACAGTTGGAAGCCTTGCATGTGCCTGCGCAAGGAGGATCCCGCTAAGTGTCCTGCAGTGATGATACCCTAGAAGTCCAGTTCGACTTGTTGGCACCATCCAAGATTTCAGGACAAATACGAGTCACTGGGTCATCTAGTCAGACCATTTCTTGAAATCGTCGACTGGACAGGAAAGTGGCCATGTGTCCAGCGGGCGCCGATCGTCATCGGATTGGTCTTTGTTCCTTGTTGCCCTGACTGCGGGGGGGGGAGGAACTCAACCAGTGCGCCGGTCTTTGTTCCTTTTGTTTTCGTGCACGCTGGTCGGTCTCCGTCAGTGGACGGAGACCGGCTCGTGCATCAAGCTTTCGAAGAAACAGATACCCTGGGAGTCAAGGTCGACGATCAGAATGGTCTGACGAACGGTGACCCGAAGTTCAGGAAGGTCCTGAAAACTTCGGTCGATCAAAATATACACTCCCGAAAACTAACATAGACCCTGACGTCCTGGCCCCATGGAAGACTATCTTCCTCTACAACCCAGTGGTTTTCAGGTTCCATGTTAGTCTTCCAGGGTGTAGTCGAATTGGACTTCTAGGGTATAGTCCAGTTTTGGTGAGAAAGAAAACCCGAGCCCCGACACGGTCGGCCAAAGCCATTGGCCATTGGCCAAAGCTTGTCTACAAGACTCTTCGAATGTCTTCTACCAGCACCACCAAAAATAAGTTGAATAGAATCATACATCATCAGGAAAGCTCTATAAATAAACCTTTGGCCCTTTGGGGTGCTGCGTTGTGTCATGCTCCGGTCCCCGATCGAAGGGACCGCGCCGCGGCGATCGGCGATCGAATGAAACGGCGGCTCCCGTGACTCGACCCCCGAGCGGCCAAGATGGAGTCCGAGCGTTTGAGGATCGCGCCCAAGCTAATGATCCCCATGACCTCGCAGCCAGGGACCCGAAGGGACGGAAGGGTCGGAAGGGTCGCTAAGGGATGGAAAGAGCATGGCTTCACCCTTTAGGGACCCTTCCGGGTGGAGTGGAAGACGATTCTGGCTGTACTTCCGTGTGGCGAAAATCTGTCGGCATGGAGCGCGTCAGCCCAGCGGGTGTGGCAGCGGGTGTCCGGTGGGGGCGTCCCTTTCGGAGACTTGGACGTGCTGGTGCCATGAAAAGATGGCAAACGCCTTATTGGCGAAGAACTGCGTTCCGAAGAACCTGTGGAAGTTGGATGGTTCTATGTCAAAAAGTCACGAGTATTGGCGTGCTCATAGGAAGTCGGCAGAATGAGTTCCTCTACCGGTAGCATTCACAATCTATGCCAGAACCTCATCAAACCTGCTTCCCTTCATCAAACCTGCACCCACACGCCGCCGCCTTGGCCGACCCCTGAACTCGCCCCCATCGCTGGACGACGGACCGACCTGGTCCCGGAGGCACGTGGCGACTCCGTGGTTCCGATGCACCCCCCCGAATCACCCTTCCACACCTCGGCCCGGGATCGCTTTTGGGCGAAGGTGCCTTCAGATCCTGGTTGAACTGATTGATGCAGACACGATCCAAGAACACGTTGCCCGGAGGCCTCCAAAGCACCAGGATCACCATGGTGCTCAGAAGTCCCGCGAACCTGAGCCACCCACAGAAAGCAAGAACACTGGCACCCTCACCGCCACGGCAGCTGACAGTCGAAGGTGCGAAAAGCACAGGCGCCACCACAACTGTGATTGGGCGAGTGGTCAAGTGCCAACGAAGCACATCAGGAACGTGTGCCCGTTTTGGAGGGAGGTCTATGCCTGAAAATGGGGGAGGTGGAAGAAGTCAAATCTTCAAGATCTCAAAGGGGAAGATGTGCCTACAAGTCCAGTCTGACCCGGTAAAACCAGGTCAAACTGACCTCCTGTTTCGTCGTAGTGTTTCGATGAACAAGTCGAGGGACTACCCGAGGTCGAACGGACGAACCGGTCGGTCGGCTGCGTCGACCCGTCGTTCGCCCAAGCGACAAGGACCAGAACGAGACCACTACATGTTCAGCGTCGGCGTTCGCAGCGATCTGGTAGCCCGGCAGACCAGACCACTCCAGTTGCCAGACCAGGGCCATGGCAAAGGCACTCAGCGTACCAAAGATGCAAGCAGGCAAACCATTCTGCATGACCATCCTGAGACGCTTCAAGTCTTGTTTGGGGGGTTGAGAGACCACCATGGGGCCGTTCCTGCGATGCAGGTGGATGTCCGTCACTTTTGAATGGTCTTCTATAGCTAGGCAAAGGTTTTGCTGTTGATACTTTTGTGGAACAGGCCGATGAGAAACAGCCCGGACACTGAGCCAGAGTTAAAATTGTGCACCAAACACATGGACGTTTTGCATGAAAGCACATTCAGGCCATGCTTGCCACGTGTAAGAAATTTCGAGCTTCGCCTTACAAGCACTCTGGACGATCTGACCTGGTCAGATTCTCCCAGCTGCCCTCCACCATCCATCTCGGGAACCCCGCTCAGGCCCAGTGTCAAGAGCAAAATCTTCTGCCAGGACTTCCCGTGCCAGCTGTGAGAAATGAATTGATCAAACTTCTCTGTGATGAAGCTGTGGCGGTAGAAGTTCTGACAGGGCTATTCAGTCGAATCTTTGGCAAAAACATGGGAGTGCTTTGTGCAAAAGGCCCAAGTCATTGAACAAAGCCGTTCTCAATCAGCACAACTTCTTTCTCATCAGCACACCAACCTACCCACTTGGACGAGGCCATACCCAACGAAAACCACAGTGTCCGGTGTCTTCATGGACAACTAACTCTTCCACCGCTCCTTGTGGCGCCCGGCACGGAAGACATACCCAGCCCAGTTCAAGACGGCATGCCAGCGGGTGGCACGCAACAGCTCCGCATCCATTGGCTCCATGCTCTGCAGGAGCTCCAGGATCGCCTACGTACCCAGCGTCAGCCAAGGGATTGTTGGTTGTAAAGTGAGGGTGAGGAGGGGGAGGAGGAGGAGGAGGTTGAGGATTTGGACTAAGATGAGTATGACGACGAGCCTCCCTTCAGGGATTGGGGGCATCTACAGGAGGATGAATCTGTCTTGGCTTTGGTTACAGCACAGAAAAAAGGCTCTGTAGATCCTCCTGTACACGTGGGAATTGGATGGATGGAGATGTTTTTCATATCATTTTTCCGGCACCACAACGGCCAAACGGCCATCCCCATCATGATTCTCCAATGACACAACAATCAGCCTTGGCCGTGCTTGCATGCACGACGACCCTGATCGACAGCTGATTGGACAGACTGACAAACATGATGAATCTGCCGACATCCAGGACCTTCCCAGTGACCCTTTGAGATCCCAGAATGAGGTCACTTAGGCCTTGAAAAGGTCACGTATACCAATCCTGAAGAGGTCACTGGGAAGGTCCTGGATGAGTGACTGGCGGAGTTCGCTCCCAACTCACTTCGGATCCAGATCCAATCACAAGGCGACCCCACAAATTCTGAAGAGAACCTGATTAGACTCTTCCAGTTCAGTACCCCAGGTAGCTCGGTCCTTTGTTTATGTATATATATATATATACCCTAGGCTTCCAAGACCATTTAAAAAATGGTTGACCTGGTTTTTGTAGTGTAAAATCCTTAGTTGATTTGGTAGGCAGCCTATTGGGTTAATGGTGGGCCAGGAAGCCTAGGGTATATATAAATATATATCAGGTCACTGAAGATACTGAATCAAAAATCCCTCTCTTCGTGAAAGCGATCCCTGGCATCAGGACGTCACCACACCACAAAACGAGTCTCCAGGCTATACCCAGCCGCCTTCAAAGACCATGGTTTAAGATGCTTGACCTGGTTTTGTGGTGAAATCCTGAGTCAAACACAGGTGTTTCGTGACCCAGTTCGCTCTGAACATCAGGGTGGGCCCATGAATCCTTGTTCCATCACCTCCCCACCTCTGCTTTCACCTCTGGCGCAGGTGCCACCGGCGCCACCGGCAGCCACGCATCGCGAACCGGCACCAACGCGGGCTGCCGCGCCGCGGGCGGCGGTGGGGTGCCGGCGTCGGTGCAGCGCAAGGCCATGGGTGGCAGCTTCACTTCGCTGGGATCCTCCATGGTGGAGACGCTGCATCTCGACCAAGCGTCGACCAAGGAGTCTTGAGCACAACAACCAGGCGCGGGCGTAGGGCCCTAGCGCGTCTTTTGCGGGAGGGTTGAGGTGTTTACTTTGCCAAAAGCTCGTGGCAAACACCTTCAGGAGCGGACTCGAAGGAGGCACGAAACGAAAGAGGGCACGTGCTGAACAACAGGATGTCTCTGTCTACCACCTAGCCTGGCCAACCTCTTCTTGCGCTGTGCGCAGAACCTTCAACCAGTCATCCACTTGGTCGCTGCCGAGTCCCTCTGCACCCCCCAGAACCCCTCCGATGAGTCCCTGTGGCCCCCTAGCAGGACCGGATAGAACCTGAGCGATCGGACGGAGAACGGTCACCAACGGAGAACCACCAGGTCACGCACGCTCCAGAGGAGCGACCGAGCGGACTGGAGCTCCGAAAAAGCGACCGAGCGGAAATCGCATCAAGTCGAAGCCCTCATGGCTTCTCCATGTACAGTGGTTTCAGAGGACATGGCATTGGCACCTCGAGATGTCCTTTAGAATGGGGGTCCATAGAAGCCACCTTGTGCCATCTACTCTCAATCCACTGTAGGTCAAGAAACACGTTGTTGACGTTCACTTGCCCAAAGCATGTTGGAAATGAAAAAATGAGAGTCCAGAGACTCTTGCGTCAATTTATCAGACTGGAATATTTGTATAAGAAAAGATGGATAGTGATGGGTGGTTTTGAGATGTATTTAAGGGTCAATGCAGGTAACTACTCCAGTCCCATGGATGGCCGGAGTGAACTCAGCTTATGATCTTGAGTTTCGTGCATTCAATGCATTCAACTCAACCCCTTTGGCATGCTTTTCCACTTGGCAATCGGCCATTTGGAAGTGGTGAGAGAGCTGCTTCAGGCAGGAGCCAAAAAGAATGCTAGCATCAATTTCAACTTCTGCTAGGAGCAACTCTTGCACCACTTGTAAGTAGCCTTGTTGACTTGCCCGCTGCAAAGCTGTGCTACGGCAGTTTGAGGGTCCTTCGGTTTGCCCCTTCTACTGGAGTTTCATCATTCAGTAGATCATTCAGTAGAAGAATTGAATTCATCACCAGTAGAAGGAGATTCTATTGAATTGAGATCATTCAGTTTTCAGATTTGGCCACCAAGCAGGACGCTGGAACTCTTTACGTTCACATGCTGCAGGCTCGGCGTTCTCAGTTCAGACATGCTAAGAAGCATTCACTTGCCCAACAGCTAACTGTCACTAACTGAACACAAAAAGACATGCTTCTCTCAGTTTTTGGAAAGTTACGTGCACAACTGACTTCAGTTATCTACTTCGTAAGTGAGAGTCTTCCCAACCTGTTCCGGTTTGGCATTTCCCACCCTTTAACCTTCCTCTCTTTGTGTGTTTATGTGTTCTTCCCCAAGAAATAGAAGAACAAAGAACCGCGTCCGGCTCCAAAAACACGTCCAACTCCCCAATCTCGAACCCACGAACCGCGTGCGCCGGAAGCGGCCCAGAAGCAGGTGCACCGCGAAGAAGATCACTCCCAGCGTGGGGTTCGGCACGTCGATCCAACCTCTCACCTGGCAGTCGGTGGTCAGCGGCCAAGGAGGCGACGGGGGCGACGGGGCGAGTCGGTCGGAGAGTGAGTTGGAGAGGTGGAGAGCCGAGAGGGTGGGGGAGTGTTTTGTTCGTCGGCGGCAAGTCAGGACGTCCTGAGGGAAAGGAGTTTGAACAAAAAGACCATGATCCTTTGGAGGTTGCTTGGTTTCAGACCTAGCTGAGCAACTTATTTATGAAGTCATGATGACTATATAGTTAGTTTGAATGCCAAGAAGAGAGGGCTGATCGAATGGTTGTCATCTGCAAGTAGGTCTACTAAGGAGACTTACAAGCAGGCTTACTCACCACTTACACAATCAGGAAGCTTCGGCAAACCAGCAAAGAGTGGCGAAACAATGTCCGAAGGAGTTGGCTTGGCACTAAGTTTCTGCACCCCCAGCGCTGCGGAAAAAAGAGCAGAACTAAAAAATCTGACGCTCACAGCCGCGGATGTGCGGGTGACCTCCCTCTTGGCACTCAGAGGTGCTATGATTGAACCCTGGCACCTTCTCCACAATGTTGCCATCTGCCTCAGCAAAATACAGCAGCCAGTCTGTCGTACTCAGTCTGGTGGCTAGTGACATGGCAAGGAGCTTGGGAGGTATAATCTGGGCGCCGGCCACGCAGCCCGTGTCCTAGCCGGAGGCCTTCGGTTGGTAACCGAAGGTTACAGGGGCTACGCCCCCTTCCGCCGGCCGATTCCTCCGGTCAACCTCCGGTCGACCTCCCCCCCAGTCACCCTGGCAAGGATGACATAACGTGGGCCAACATGTGGCAACATGGATATGGTGATGGGTGCAAGGTCGTTTTCGAATGCCCGTGGTGCGGGATGTGCTGACCGAGTGGGGTTGCATTATTAGCATTTTGTTCTTGTGCTGGCTCTCTGTCTCTTTTTCATCAACTGGAGGAGAAAGAGCACGGACTGGACATGTCCGAAAACTATGTGTCTTACGGTGTTTTCAGGCTTGCGGAGGTGGACATGTCCGAAAACCATGTGCTTTACATAGTTTTCGGGGTTGCGGAGAGAGAAGCGTCTGGATTGAACCTGTGCGAAAACCATGTGTTTACCGTGTCTGCGGGGTTGCGAAGAGACGCGTCTGGATTGAACGTGTGCGAGAACAATGTGTTTTACGGTGTTTTCGGGTTGCGGAGAGAAGCATCTGGGCTGGACATGTCGGAGGGTCAACCTCTACAGGACAGTGGGCCTCCTCCTCCCGGCGGATGCTGCTGGGGTCTCCCACCCGTTTCGTCCCTTCCGTCTCTCCTCCCTGCCCCGGCCGGCGCCCGGCTGGCGTAAGCCTTTACATCTGATGACTCTGTAAATATATACCCTGAGATTCCAGCAAACATTGTTTGAATGGTCTACCAAACAACCATCGGTTCACTAAGGCCTTTACATTTCAAGACTGGCTCTCAAACTTTCGGTTAATGGTCTTTGAAGGCTATATAATATATAGGGTATGTACATACACGAGGATTCACGAGGATGAACTTGTCATGTTTTGATGAAGAAGGGCCATGTTGTTGACCACCCCCTCGCTTTTCTACACCTCAAGTGTGTGAGTGTCTCGATTAAAACAGGTGTGGCAAAACCCTGGGGCTCGAACGGCCCTGTTCCAATCACGCATCGAAAGCTGAAGGCTGAGCTGAGCAGTCAGCAGTCCACACATGGTTCGGTGCAGGACTCATGAAAAGTACATGAACCAAATCATCTCCAATCTCTTTTTTTCCTCCCCTATCCGCAGGGTCTAAAATCTTCACATTTTCTGAAGACTTGACTCACCCCTTACATCAAAGGCCTCAGTTTGCCCCAAACAGGTCGCAGTTCCTCCAGTTCCGTTAGCTTTTCCTTCAACCCATCACTCAGGTCAATTCACACTTCTCTTCTGACCCTTTCTTGGCACCCATACCGCCGGACCTTCCTTGGCAATGCCGAAGTACCGCAGGAAACGTCCTGAACAGCGCCAGGACCCCGGGAGAGCGAAAGCCAAGGGCAACACACGTCCTGGACCCGTCACGTCTTCCCAGGACCCTGACCCCCCTTTGCCAGAAGGTGGACATGTCGATTTTGATTTCTTGATCTTGTTACGATCTGGTTCGAAGCTTGATTTCTTGATTTTGATGTTTATATTTCTTGTTACGATCTTGTTCCAATCTTGATAATTTGATTTTGATTTCTTGTTTTCGTGTTTAGGATTCTTGATTTCTCGGCCTGGGATCTTGAGCTTGTTTTAGATGTGGTTTTTCTGCGCGTCGTCTGTCAGAACGGTGCACCGGTCAGGGGCGTTGTGTAGCTTGAAGTGTTCACGAGTTGGAAGTGCCGCGGTTCACCACCTACCCCCCCCCAACCCGAGCGGCGTGGGTACCGCAGCCACCAAACACCGTCCGACCCGAGTCCTGGCGGAGACATCAAGACCTTGCTGCACTTCGCCCAGGGTGCGAAGTCACAGAAGGGCCTCAAGGCCGGACAGGAAGATGCCGCTGAGTCGAGGTGAGTCGAGGACGAGAGCTGTACAAACCGAGTCGAGGTGAGGGGGAAGACCAGACATCGATTCTTGCTCGACGTTCAAGAGGCGGGTTCTAAGAAGGAGTTTCAATCAAAGAGACTACCAAACCTACCAGCGATGGCCTTCAACCTACTAGCGATGGCCTCAAACCCAATAGCAAACAATACTTCGACATCAAAGAGGCTTCAAGAAGGAGTTTCAACTAAAGAGACCACCATAAACCGTACTCGGCCAACCAGCAAGCTGCTGGACACATTCAACGCTCCCGTTTTACACCATCTGGCTCAGTTCCCACACGGCCCACCAGAATGAACGGAGCCCATTGCGCAGGAGCATACGCCGGTCCAGGCAAAGGCCAACGCCTTTGGCGCAACATCTCGCACATAGCCCTCTGCGCCGCCACTTTCAGAGGGAGTTTTGCACACAGCCACTCTTTGTACAAGAGATGCATGAATGTCAAAGTGGATTGATCTGATACTTTCCACAAAGAAGCCACAGTGCACGGGGTCCCTGCAGCCATGAAGGCACGGCTAAGACCCACCACGCCATCTGCTCCGGTGTCTCCTCGCGCTGTGTCACAGCTCGCAAGAGACCAGATTCGGGTTTGTTCAGTTCGCCATGCAGTGCTAGTGCCTTTTGGTCGAGCAGACCATGTGTGCCAAAATGCAAGAACCTGTGCGTACCACACACAGCTTGTTGTATGTTGGTTAGAGTGGCCTCGCCATCAAGGACCTTGACGACCTTGCAACCTGCTTGTTGGCAGGTCTGTCCAATCTTGGTGTTTTCATCTTTGACTGCAGGCAAAGGGGCCAAAATCTCTCCATCTACTGCTGGCGGCATGTTGAATTCAGAAACACCAATTAAAACACTTGAGGATGAGTCTGCCTGAACACGCAGAGCGGTTTGCGCAGCACACAAACTGCGTGTGATGTGGATCGACGGCATCAAAACTAAAGTGTGGACCTCGATAAGGTAGCGCCTGCTTTCGTCTAACATTGCAGAGAAAGGTACCATCCATAGATCTCTGTCTGGACAAATGTACACATGCTGCTCTCCTTTCAACCATTCAGCAACAGGCTTGTAGAGCAGGTCATAACATCTTCGCAGCTTTGCATCTGTCTCTGCCATGTGCTTCCTACGTCGTTCTAAGGTTCGCAAGGTCTCTGGCTTCATGCGATTCTCACCGTGATCCTCCCAAGCCTCTTGACCGTCTGAATCCTCTGACTTGGGTGGGTCGCCCCTAAATCCGATACCCATGGCACTGCGACTTCGCAGCAGGAACTCCGAAAAACCTCCAGGCTGCCCCTCCAAGGCATCCACCGTGTCTACCACACGCCACCGCAAGACACCCTGACTGCTAATGACCCAAATGAAACACCTGCCTTCCAGCAAGGAATAGAATAGAATTGCTGAGCCAATCTCCTTCACAAGGCTTTCAATGTGCTGCCATGAAAGATTCCAGTCTCCACAAAACGTGCTAATACTCTGTCCTTTCTCTTGCAACAGAAGTGCCAACGCTCTCGCTCTAGTCCTGTCTGCAGCAAGAAGTGCTTGCCCTGGCTCCTGAACATCAAGCAGAACTCGCTGCCAGCCATGGCTGATCTCCATGTGCAGGTACGAGTCGCGGTGCAACAAGCGAAACCGGTCTCTCTTGGAGTGGCACCATGTCTCCTCGAACAAGAGAGCAGCCTTCTCAAAGTAGTCTCTGGCTTCCGCGGTGTTCCCAGCATTGGACTCCGCTCGAGCCAGATTACGGAGTCCATGTAGCTGCAAATGGGCATTGCCTAGGTCCTGGCTTAGGGCGTATGACTGGCGTAGCATCTGGAGCCCTTTTCCGAAGTCATGGAATTCCTCTCTCCACCCACGTCCTCGATGCTTCAGGCCACAGAGATAGTGTCCAAAGTAAGAATAGCAAGTTGCCACCAAAAGATCACGTTCACCTTTGTCGTACAGACGTTCGCCTGTTTCCAGCGTCTTCTGAAAGGCTACTATGGCTCCCACTTCATCCTTGCAGCTTCCTCTGAGGTTCCCCACTTTCATCAAACACCGGCCTGAACGGGTCAACGGCTTTGTGAACCAAAGCCAGTTCAACCCTTGAAACCATACAGCTTGAAGCAGCCGGTACTCAGTCACTATGTGCTTCATGACTTGACTTAACATGACTTCACTCTTGCTTTCACGCATTTTTGTCGCCGAGGTCAACCAACGATGCTGCCACAGCTGCAAGGACTTCAGCCATCCGTCTTTGGTCTGAAACGGCGCCTTTGTGCTCGCGAAGTAAGGCCAGGGACGCGCGCTTCATCTCCAAAGCTCTTCTTTCATCACCCAGCCGTTGCAAGGCTTGACCACACAGAAGCAAAGCTTCAGCCTCTTCTTGCTCTTCTTGCTTCGGACCAGCTTGGCTCCGTTCTACAATCTTCTCGGCCATGGTGTAGGCCTTCTCCAACTCTCCATGGTGAAGATGTCGACGTGCTTCCTGCAACAGCATCTGGGTCTGCAACTCCCAGCTAGCTGCCGACGCTGCTTCCGCTCGAAGGCATCTAAAACACGACCAAATGCCGGCCAAAACGCATCGGCTGAGTCCGTGTCGTCGTCCCCAGAGGCGCAGAAGAATGTCGAGGGAGTGTCTAATGGAGTCAGAAAACGACAGAAATCATGAAGAACAGTACCTAAGACAAGAAGCTATAGAGGTGGTATCAAGTCAGTTCGTATCTGGGCCCGCAAATGTTCACACTCTTTTCCAAATGGCCATTACCCAGATGACTGACACCAGCTTTGTCTGACAGTCCGAAACGGAAGTACAGCACCATGCCGAGGACATGAGTCTCATGCAACGGTGCCAGAAACCAATGACCTAAAGTAGTTCGGTACAACGACTTTGGGTGGAAAAAGACCGATTTTCTGTAGGTTATGTAACTGTACCCTAGGCTTCCAACAACCATTAATTTAATTCCAACAACCTTTGACTCCCAGGGTGTATGTTTGAACAAGGAAAAACCTATGGCTGCAGGGTGGCACCATGCGAGACTGTCTCAGAGGCCGGAGACGCGAACAAACCGGCGGTGAATTGGTGGACGACCGTCGGCTAGCAGGAAGAAACGGTGATAAACCCGATCTTCTAGAGTCTGCCAAGATCCAAGGTCCGAGGTGACATCGGTTTCACAAACCCAGCAGCTTTCATTTGACTTGTTGAGAGTCGAAGCGGAGATACTCAGAGATATCTGAGATGTAGAATCTTGATTCATCAAACCACCCCAAACATGGATCAAACATTCAGGCCTGGGAGGCACAACACTTCAATTCTGTTCTCTGGAAACCAGTCCTCTCTCAGGACTCGGTCCTTGCGAGCTTTCTGTCTTCTGTCTTCTGTCTTACGTTCGTTCCAAATGCTGGGTTTCCCCGACTTGTACGCCTTCATCTCGGGATCCTGAGGAGCGGCGTAGTCGAAGCCCGGGTAGACCTGCTCCAGCCGCACTTCGACCCAAAGGGCAGCGAAGCACCAGAAGAGGCCCAGCAAGCCGAGCGCCACCTGGCATTCGCCAGCGCCGGGGAAGAGCGGGTGTGCCCCAAAAAAGGAAATGAGTTCTTGGTAGGCATGCATAAATGAATACAAGCACGGACTTCATCTTTGTGTACCTTTTGCATGTGTGTAAGCAACACGTTGCTCAGAAACTCGGAAAGCTCAACACCAAACATCGAATCCAATGTCTGGCGCAAACAGGCCAAACATCATTATTCGAGGACCTCGTTGTTGATTTTCATCAGCATTTCCCAGACTCGAACCATTGGAGTCCTCAAAGGGCTCACATTGTACAGGAGCAGGCTGTACCTTAGTTCGTCCTCCCTGTCTTCCCTTCTGCACTTCGGATGCCAGTGAAGGTGGCACCTCCCACCGCCGTGGCCACCAGATCCCCAAACCCACCAAGGATGTGGGATCCGTGGCCTGGCAGCTCCTCCACGGGGCAGTGAAGGCATAGGCCTCACCGTGGACACTTGGACTCGGCGACGGCGAGAACCCACACGACGCCGCGAAGGGGAGACTCTGAGGTCGATGACGTGCCCAGTGACCCGAAGGGAAGGGGAAGGGTTTTTCTGTCAAAAAGCTGGACGGTTGATTGACCCCCTGGAAGAAGGAAACAGACCACAACCCATGTGGCATAGAGTCGTCTGGAAAACTGGAAGGTTAGCCCCGTCCTGCTCCTGCAATGCACTCAGCTAATTCATAGGCACCCTAATACAAGGGGGAGCCCAACAGGAGAGCGAAGCCCTGAAAATGACGAAAGCCATCGACAACAAAATGTCTGCTGTGTCTTGAATGTGTGACCCGCAAAACCTTCGGGCGCAATTGCTTGACTGAGAAGCTTCTTAGCCTGGCCGCGCTCCTGCCATTGGTAACCCGTAACTGTTCCTTCAACTTCCAGCAAAGAAGCAACCATCCTGGACCACCCAAACCAACCACCCGGACCAAATCCACCCTTAAAAGGAATCAGGGGTGCACCAAATCCGGGACTTAACACCAACAAATCCAACTTGTTCCGAGAAATCTTCATTGTTGCAAGGCCAGAAGCTGAAGTGTTTCAACAGCACCGGGAGTCTCTGGACTCTAGATTCTGTGCATCCCTTTCCTTCCCATTCTCGATTCCCATCTCGATCCCACGGCACCCCCGTGCGCGTTTTCCTCCGTCGTCCGTCCTCCTTCCTTTTCTGGGGACCCCCAGCGTAGATTGCGACCTCCAGGAGCACCAAGGGTAGCACCCAGACGTAGAAGTTGCTGTCCTGTCAGAGATTCCTCGCAATAGATTTACTTAGAGAGCGCACAGGTGCAGGTAAACTCGCCACTCGAAGTCCGGCATTCCTCAAGATCTTCGTCGCCGAAGTCGTTAATGGCTTTGGAAAGCATCCAACTACACCACCGAAAGAGTGTCCCTTTCCTTCAGCTGCTTTTGGGTGACTTTATGACAAACTCATGTGCAGCCTTGGATCCTAGGTTGGCAAACAAACAGGGATTAACTGTTCATGAGTAGTAGTAACGAGGGCTAGTTGGCATGAATCCACCACATCAGTGGGTGCGAGTGAAACGAAGGAGGCCCAACTTCTGACCAGCAAAGCAGTGAACCGTGAAGGCCGAAGGTGGAACTGCGCTTGCCCACAACCATCCTGGAACAGCATGCAGTGCGGCCTTCCAGCTGAGTAACGCATCTCGTGATGTGCGACCTAGTATGAAGGGCCCAAAGTCCCATTCGTTGAACGAAACCCGAACAACACCCACGGTCCAGGCCGAGTAACGCCATGCTCGGCTTCTCGGCTCGGTCCGTTGTGGGAGTCACTGATCGATGGACGTGGGATTTTTGTTGCATCAAACCGGGATACCCAAACGGCATTGAAAACGGCATTGAAATGCGTGATGCAATGTGATGCACCCACCAACGATGTTCGTGAAACCTTCCCTGGATATTCTCACTTTGGACTTGCCCCGCAAGCCTGTCTTCACATAGTTCTGGCATGGCATGTTTCAGTGAAGAGCATGTAAAAGGCTTGAGCGCTTAATCTGTCGAACCACTCATGCACGAAACAACATGAAAACGAGCCATGTTAAACCAACCTGCGACGGCCTGCGTTCAACCAACGATGTGTTTTCACGGCCCGATGGTTCACACCGGGCCCGTTCCGTCGCCAAAGAGCATCGCTTTCACCGGCATGAAGGCGGGTCTAGCGGGTGAGTTGACCCTGTGAATGGAACTGTACCAGAGGAGTCAAGCAAAAGTCTTCTTTCCAAGGCATACTTGGAGGGTCTCCCAACACACTTATCATACTCTGAAAATGAAAGCACACACTCACACACTCCCGATTGCATTTCACCTACGACCAAACCACTGGCGGGGTCCGGTCAATTGGAAGCCCCTCACGTGTTGCACCGCACTTCATGTGCCGATGTTCCCTTGGTGTAGCGAAGCGACATTGATTTCACCCATGGGGGTCATCGTGGGCCCTTCCTTGCCCCTTTTGTTCCCAAAACAAAATTGTTCTTTTTCCGTACCATGTTTCGGCACACCGACAAGCTTCTCATGGGGCAATCGCAAAAACAAAATTACTGAACGGGAAATGTCAAGAACAAGCTGGATGTGTGATGACGATGAAACCTTGGGTTGTTTTGCAATATCTATTCAATTGTTTTACGATGTAAGACTGAAAATGGTTTTGCTTCAGTTGATCCCCAGAGTGCCTCTCCCCAAAGACACCTGCGAAAAGTTTTCCTAAAACAACGGCCACCATCTTCAACTGTCCAACCATTATCATCATCATCACCATCATCATCATCATCACCATCATCATCATCATGATCATGATCATCATCATCATCATCATCATCATCATCATCATCATAATCATCGTCATCGTCATCGTCAATGTCATACAGGTGCACAGACGCAGGTGATGCACCTGCCTTGACACAACCACATAGATACCCAGCAGAATTGTTTTACATCTCCATTGGAGGGGCTTGTTCATCAGTCAACATTGCCCCGAGGGAGGTGGCCTCTCAAAGTCGAATTGCGCCATTCTGAGTGAATGAGTGAGTGAGTGAGACTGCTACGAGGCTGGACTAGTTTGTAAACTTGGTCAAGGCCAATTGGACCCTCCAGGATCTGCTTTGTAGCCTCAACAAAGAAACGCCAAGCACGAGTGCAACGCATCCAACGTTCGACCGGCCTTGCAATTAACCTCGCCGTTGGGCCGCAATCGGCCCTGCCATCCGGTCTGCCATCCGTTCAAACACAAGTGTCACATGTGGCACGCGAACCTTCAGCCACCAAGTCAGACACACCGGTGGTCGCCAGTCAAGGAGCAGCCCCGGGTCGGCTTTGAGGTTATCAAGCGGCACTATGCGGAACCAGCTTCAAAGTTGGTGAGAAATCCTTTAACCTGCGAAGCTGGGATTAAGGTTTGGAGCTTGGGGTGCTTTACGAAGCCGAGGTAGTTGAAGTTTGTCCTCCTTCTCACTTTGTCACTTCAATTGCTTGTGGTGTCCGTTGCACCTATAGAAGCAGCTTCCGTCTTGACTCACCTTGAACCCCCTTAACACTGATGCCCGTAACTTGGGGCGCTCTGCTGACTGCAGTGACATGTTCATCGCCTGGAGGCTGAAGTCTGACTTGTTTGACTTGCAAAA